GAGAAATACACAATATAATAAGATATTTTCAAATATGATAAGTACTAAGCAGAAAACATTAATATGTACATGAATAATTAATGTACTTTACAAATATGAAAAATTAAACAGTAATTGTGAGAAGGTATACTGGGGAACAAGATCAAGGCTTCAGGTACCTTGATCCTGAATGTAGCATTTGTTTTGACCAAGGCTTCAGGTACAATGTATACTTGTTTTGAATAAAATTTGGAAAGTTTGGGTAGAAGTTGGTGGAAGGAGGCAAAAGTAGTGCAGTAGAAGAAAGTAAAAGCAGAAATAAAACAAAATAATTAACGATTTTTCTTAGTACATTGTCTTGTGTTGTAACATACTTGTACTTCTGTGAAAAAAAAGTACCAACTACTAACATAATGTATTTTGAAGAAATCATTGTATTCAGTTACATAAATTTCTATATATATTTTTTAATTTCACTTTTTTAGTCACAAGTAAGATTGGCTGAGTTTGTGTTTCTTGCTGTACATTGCCCAAATTTTGGTAGCTAGGTTTCACTAGTCTCAAAAAGTAAGTTGTTTCTCCCGTTTTTCTGTTTTCTTAACCTAAATGACATGAGAGCAAAACTAAAGATTTCAGAGTAATTTTCTTTGAGTCTGGAGCCTACCACCAACCTCCCTACTTTGGTACATTTTAAAATGCGTACTTGTTTAGCATGATTTTTTATTTCTTCAAAATAATTTTCCTAATTTAAATTTTCTCGTATTTATCTACTTCATATAGGTGTGCGTCTTGTAAGTGGCACATTCCTGGATTGTCTTGATCTTCCTCCTTCTCTGTTTTTCCTAGTCTGATAATATTTATCTTTTATTAGGTGGCTTAATTTGTTTACACAAATAAGCAATGTATAGATGAATAGTTCTGATTCGGTTGCAGTACTTTCTGCCTGTTACCTCTTGATATTTCCAGATTTAGGCTGGTATGCCTAGAGGTAATGGCTGCTACTAATTAATGATAATTATCTGTCACTAGGCTAAGCATATTATAGTTATTACTGCATGCATTGCTTAAAATAACCTTATGAGGTAGATGTTAGTACTTTACATATGAAGGCACCTGATGCTTAGAGAGCTTGAATAGGTTACTTAGGGAACTTATTAATAAGTAGGTTAGTAGATATGGTAGGAAAAATTATAAGATGACTCCATAGATTCCACCTTTTGATATACATGCCCTCTAAAATCTCTTCCCCTTGATTGTAGGTGAAAATTGTAAAAATTATGAGGTTGCGCCCATAATTATGTTACATTATATAGAGAAAAGTATTTTACCGATGTAATTAAGGCCCCCAATCAATGAATCTGATTTAATCAAATGTGATTACCTTAAACTGCTCTAATTAGATGGGCCTTTAAAGGAGACAAAAAACCAGCATCAGAGATTATTCTGTTGATGTTGAAAACCCAAACTGCCATGCTATGAGACAAGGAGGCCATGTGTCAAGGGCCCGAGAATAGCTTCTGAATACTGAGAGTTGCCCTTGCCTGACAGCTAGCAAGAAAAGGAGACCTAAGTCCAGAGCCAGAATGAAATCAATTCTACTGCAACCATCGAACTTGGAAGAGGACTCCAAGCCCCAGATGAGATCACAGCCCAGTCAATACCTTGATTTCGGTCTGGTGAGATCTTAAGCAGAGGATTTAGGTAACTCACACCTGCACACCGACTCACTCAAACTATGAGATAGTGAACTTATGTTGTTTTTAAGTCCATTACATTTGTGATGATTTGTTATGCAGCAGGAGAAAACTAATACTCTAGACATGCCTAGAAATTTAGTAAGCAATAAAGATTGGTGTTTAATCTTAATCTTGGTAACTTCAAAATTCATGTTTACAATTATGCTATCCTTCTTACTTTACTATATTTATTACTGTTAGAAACCTGAAATATCTGGCTGTTGACCTGAAAACTACCACATAGTTCATCAAACTTGATGGCTTTGTCTTTTGTCACACTGGCTGTGTAGTTCAATACGCTAGACTTGTGTCTTTTTTTTATCATTTTCTGTTTTTCCTGTCTTCTGCATATTTTCAAACTATGAAAAGTGTATTATATAAATTTGGTACAAAGAATAATGTCTACTTTGTAGTAAGAGGTAAAATGATGAGGATCCAATTTCACAAATCATGCAAACCTTTATACTCATTTTGGTAAATACATTTCTTTCCTCCACCAAAAATGGCTCAAAATATTATAATTTCATTATTGAATACCAAAGTAATAGGGTTTAAAAAACCAGTATTTTACCTTTAATTATTATCTATAATTACTGGAATTAAGTAACTTCAATATTGCATATGAAACTGCTTTACAGCAAGTATGTCTAAATTTAGAAAAATGCTTCTGAATCAAATAAGAAATTGATGAAAAGAAAAACGTGAACTCTGGCTTATTTCTAGTTAATAATCATTTTTGCTCTTTAATATTTACTTTTTCAATGATCAAAATTTTAAAAAAATTCTGTTTCCTTTGTTTATGTTTTCTTTTTACACAGATTTCATCATATCTGGAGATCACTGCTGTGGTACCTCATACTTTAATGATAATTATACCCTTAAATTGATGAAAATTTTCTACTAATTATTAAATCATCATGAATACCAATAATTATTAGTTTTTAAGGGATATATAGACTTAATGGGGAAAAATTTGACTGACTTTATGACTTCACTGAATTTGTTTCAAAGTATTACTGAGACATCAAAATTAAAACCAACATTTGTCTTTACAGAAATAATTCATAACTCTTGTAAAGTGAAATTTTGGAGCATAACTAAAAGGGGCATATGATATTTATCCCACTCTGCTCTGATTTCTGTTGCTGAGCAGGATAAATGTTCTCCCATTCACCACAGCTGAGATTGTCTTGCCTATTGTAGAATTGCTTCCATTTCAAATAGCACATTCATAAGACTAAGTATAATCATTATATTAGATTTTTATATAAGCCCACTTTTAATGCACACAAAAGAGAGAAAAAAGCCAAAAATAATCCATGAAAACTGCAAATGTCTCTGTACTCATGAAAGGAAGTTAGAAATGTAGGGAACACAATACTTAAGAAAATTGCTCATAAAATCCAACAAACAGTGAGTACTATTAACAAATAGTTTGAGCAGAGAATTAGCATGTGTCAGGAATAAAACCCATGTAGACAACAAGACGTTTCTCATTCCTGTGCTTTTCATCTGCTTATAAAGTGTGGAAAAACAATTCGCCCTGTTAATCCAAAGCAGGATACTGAGGGAACTTCTCATAAATTTGAATTATTGTAACCTAAATGCACACACATGGAGCATGTATTTGTATTTCTTCTGGTTAATGTGTTGTGTCACTGTAATGTTTAAAACAAATTTCCTGTTCACATCTAGTAAGCTGTAGAATGCTTTCAAAATCTGTTTTGAGTACTGACTTCAGCATGTACATTATTGATCCTATCATATTTATTATTTTTTGCTTATTTAATCAACTTTAACATATTGACTGCCATACTAGGAAAAAAAATTTTCTTGGGGCCACAGTGTTTCGTTATGAAATAGAATACAAATTTTGAAAACAAAACAATCCTTTCTAATTTAATGAAAATTTTGTTATTTTTTATTGTCTTCTGTGCATGAGTTATATGCTACTTGAAAAATAGTTCACACAGCTCCGAGGGTAGAGACATGTAAGTTACATATGCTTCATGACGCCCCAGGCTCAAAACTAGCAGGAGTGTGAGTTAAATACAACTCACATGGTAGTTAATGTATTAATTATCTTCTGGATGCCAGGCATGTTCAAGATGCTGGGATGTATTAACTAAGACACATTCTTCATCTCAGGGAGCTCCTGCTCCACATATATGTACTGATACAGACACTTTAACTCTATTCACAAAGAAGCTGAACTGCCATCACCTGGTATAGTTCTATCCAACAGAAATGCAATGAGACCCATGTTTGTGATTTAACTTTTCTATCAGCCATATTAAAGAAAAAGGTTAAAGAGATGAATTTAATTTTAATGTAATAATATGTCTTATTTAACTCTTATATCCAATCTACTACCATTTCAATATGCAAGTAATAAAAATTTTTAGTTAAATAATTGGCATTCCACTTTTCATACTAAATCTTCAAAATTCAATATGTATTTTATATTTACAGTGCATCTCAATTGATACTAGCCACCATTCACTGCCTTATAGTCACATGTGGCTACTATAGTGATAAGTGCAAATTTAAATAATAGTCAACATTGATTTTGGCATTTTCATAATGCTGTATCTAGATTTTCTAAAGATAAGATCCCAAACTATAAGTTTTGGGATCCATATAAGAGATCCATTCTTCAAAAATCTTTTTCACATGGAAACTATTTTGGGATCCATATAAGAGATCCATTCTTCAAAAATCTTTTTCATATGCAAACTATTACCCCACAGAAGTATGAAGTATTTTGTTTGCACAGTACTGGGAAAGCAAAATTTTACTTCTAGTATTTGAACAATATTTTCATAGACCAATTCTAACCTTAAGAATAACATAATGCAAAGTTTGATTGGCCAAAATACTGAAATTTGTATATGTTAATTATTTATCAGTGACAACACAAAGCTGCCAGAAAGTCTATTTTGTTTTAGTTATATTTTTAACTTGTGAGATAGTGGCTGATTTAGTTCTTTAGTTATCACATCACTAACCATATTGGTAATGCATTATTTTTCTTTTAAAATATTTAATAAGGATGATATTTTTGCATTGTGATCATAATGCATAAATTTTTAATATATTGTGTAGATTTTATTGACATACTACAAAATTTTATTGAATTAGGTATTAAAGAATATTGTTCATGCAGTTTTTAGATGGGTTAAAAGTCATTTTGGAGGAGCATTGACATTCTATAAAAACTAAAAAAAGGCATAAATTGACAGATCAAAATAGCCTAAAAGTTGTATAATTTTCATATTTCCTTAGAGCTACGAGTGTGTGTGCCCATCTGGTTGGGAAGGAAAATTTTGTGAACAAGAATCCAATGAGTGTAAGATAAATCCTTGCGAGAACAAGTCCACCTGTATTGACCTTTACAAAAGCTATCGGTGAGTAATATAGTGTTAGTTTTCTTTATCAAATTATTTGGAGTGCTCAATGTCCTTGGGATGTACGAAGATATTATTTTTACTTTACACCCTTTAATTAAAATGACCATCCAGAGATGAGCATTAACTGACAAGGTAGTGTCACAGTCATTTGAAATTTGTAAATACTGAAGTTGAGATGTCAAGTTAACAAAGTAACAAACAAATTTTAACTTGGAGATATAATTTTCAGATGTGGTGCATGTTACAAATGCATTTACTTCCTTAAAATATGCTTTTACCATTCCAGCATTGTTTTGGACCATTCCATGCAGGAGGAAAGATGCCGTATGTGACAAAGAAGGAAGGAGTCCCTTGAACTCAAATTTTCAAATAATTACCTAGAAATTATTATGAGTTTGGATTATCTCAGTACAATTATTGATAAATTATATAACATAAATTATTTACATATTCCATAATTCAATTGTATTAATGGGTTCTTAGATGAAAAGTCTGAAGAAACTCTAAATAGAAATTCTGAGTAGCCATTGCTATTCCAAAAGCTTAACCAAATTCATTTATATATTGGTATATAACTTTTACTCCTTATCTTGTTTCATATACATTGCATCTCTCACTTAGATGCAAAATTAGATATATTATAACTGAATAGTTTTATTCTTGTTAAAGAAGCAGACTAATTATATACAAATGCACTCAGATGATTATTTTCTGGGGATAAATTAAAATTATTTCAGGATGTCCTCCAAAATAATTCATACACTTTCTTTTGCCTTGTGATTATAGTTGAGAATTCTGAATTATTTCAAGCATGTAAGAATTTTTATAAATACTTCTAATTTTTAGTGACTCAAGTGGGATATAAGACTCAGACTAGTCAACAGTAGGCAGTTTGCTTCAATAAAAGGGAATTCCAACATACCTGGCAACAGTAGGATTGATACCTTGAGGACAGGAAGAAAAAAATAAATAATTTTGGTCATATAAAAAAACAATCCCAATAGTAGATGTTTAAATTTAAAATATAGAAAAATATAGAAAAACACAGAGCTATTTTGTGACATTATAAATTATTAAAGTTGATATATCATCACAAATTGATATTAACAACCTCTCCATCTGTGTAGTAGAAGAAATAATTAACTTCTGATGAGCTATGAACAAAAATTTCAGAGTTATTTATATTTATATTTTTAATTAAATAACTCAATTACAACCTAAAAGATTTACTGTAAATTTTCTAGTATTTCTTTCATTGAGACTCTGTTATATACTTGCTAACATTTAGCTATTTTTTTTAAATTTCTAAAGATAATTCGTATATGTGTGCATTGATGCTGTCAATAGCCATCAGACAAACACCGTTAGGAACAGACCTGAGGCTGAAAAAGTTGGATTTACAATGCATTGCAACAAGGGAGAGAACACACTATGTGGGCCCATGAGCCATCTCAGTAAAATGGTGCAAAAAGGACTTATAGGTTTGAGCTTGTAACATGTATTCTTGTGGCAGGTTTAAGAAAGTGGGGCTTTGTTCTGGATAGAATATCGTGAGGAAGTGGGCAAAATTCTATGACTGGGTTCTTAATATATTTTATCCAGAAGGATGAAAGACAAGACAGCCAATTTTTGTTGTTGTTAAAGAGACAGCAATCACTTATACTACTCATGACAGGGGAATGTTTTGTTATTCTTTTGTTTTGGATGATGTTCATATTTTTGTCACTATTCAGATATGTTTATGGGGTATCCTAGTTTTGTTATGATCTATCAGGGTCATAGAATAGCCTTGTCTGATATTGATGTTCTGTAAGATTATCTGTTGAAATGTTCAGTAGGAGAATACCAAGATCTAGCTGTACACCAAGTTTTTTGTTTGTTTGTTTGTTTTTGTTTTTGTTTTTTGAGACAGAGTCTCACTCTGTTGCCTAGGCTAGAGTGACGTGGTGTTAGCCTAGCTCACAGCAACCTCAAACTCCTGGGCTCAAGTCATCCTCCTGCCTCAGCATCCCAGAGTGTTAGGATTACAGGTATGAGCCACCACGCCAGGCCAGTAAACCAAGTTTATAGTATCTGACCAGCTCCTAGATAACTTAGATATCAGGAGCTACTTTTCTCCTTCCAAAAATACTGCCTTATACATATGTGTGACATAAACATATTTATATATGTGTGTGTGTCTGAAATATATTACTTACATTTGTTCACCTCTCTAAAACATACTGTTTTTATATATCAAACAATATAAGAAGAAATATTAATTTATTATCTAACATGGTATTACTTTTATTTAAGTAAAAATATTGCTCTCGATAGAGGTTTTAAAGATTGAAAACAAAATAAGCAACAAAGTCTATAAGGCTTAATTTAAAATACTTTATTTTAATATTCATGAGACATAATCAGTCTTTCTAGATTACCCTGACATCACTAATTGTGAACTCCTAATGACTTAAATTTATAAATGTGTCATAAGACTTTGTCACCTAAATTAACACAAACTCTCTTAGTCATTTTATCATTCCTGAGATTTTTGATAGATTACTGACTTTATTTTCAAGATATTAAGTGTTGCATTTTTTTTCTGGGTATAAAAATAGAAGTCCTACTGAAATAGGCTTTCTCAATGTAGTTCCTCTTTAGATTTTACAGATAATGTATTAATATGAAAGTTATATTCACCTTGGCTTTATTAGATTGTAAAGAAAAGAAAGCATTCACTAAATATGCTGCTAATGAGATAAGCATATGCTATAATAAATATTATAACTCAGTATTTAAAAATTCCCTTACCAAGTTATTTTTATAATAACTTTATTGAGACATAATTTATGTACCCCTTTAAAATGTACAATTCAGAATAATATTCTTCCCTTAAAAATGGGGAATGTACTCTATGACCCCCAGTAAGTACCTGAAATCACAGATAGTACTAAATTCTATATAGGGTTATGTATACCCCTCAATTTACAATGTGGTTATGTCCTGATAAACCTATTATAAGTTGAAAAAAGTGAAAGATGCATGTGTATATACTTAATACACTTAACTTAGTGAATATCATAGCTTAGCCAAGGCCTACCTTAAATTTACTGAAAAAATATATATACATTAGTCTACAGTTGGGCAAAATAATCTAATACAAAGCCTATTTTATAATGAAGTGTTGAATATTTCATGTAATTTATTAAATACTGTACTGAAAATGAGAAACAGAATGGTTGTATGGGTACTAAAAGTACAGTTTCTACTGAATGAGAATCTCCTTTACACCATCATGAAGTTGAAAAATTGTATATCAAATCATTGTAAATTGGAGACATTTTAAATAATCTAATGTGGCAAATCTGGAAATCAGATTCTGCTCCTTCCCAGTTATTACAGTTTTTGTAGTTGTTTCTATAATTTGTTCAGTGTTTTCCTAGAATAGTTTGTCATGTGTCTCTGTCAGCTAAAAACAAATGATTTCACAGAGACTTTCTTATAGTTTTTAATCTAATAAGTCTTCCAGCCTTTAGTGAGGGCTTTTGTGTGTAGATGCATGTCTCACAACTCTGTCATATTCTTCACTTGCTGCTTTCACACAGCCTCAAGGTTAGTCAGAGATCAGAAATTAGGGCCATTTCATATCTTTCATTGGCCTATGCAAAGGCCACAGTAAGCATGTTGTGACGTCTTCTAGTTTCCCAGCAATTTGGCTAGCTTTCAAAGCCTTCTAGGTACACCTAATTCCCCAGTTTTTTTCTTTAAGCATATTGGTCAATCTCTCATTAAACTCAACTGGAATCATCACCTCAAATAGCTGCAATGTTAAATAATTGTGGTGGATTTTTTTAAACTAATTCCCTGGATAGAAGGCTTTTTGAAAACAGTAAGCTTTTGAGTCAGGTCAAATAAAGTCAGTACCTGAGAATGGAGTTTTTCAGAGAGCTGCCAGACCAATGAAATAGTGACACTTCCTGGGAAGGGTCTTTTGAGTCAGCTTCATACCTGTACTTTCCCCTCCAGTGGCTATTAGACTGCTGTTTTCACAGCTGTTATAGCTGTAATGCTGTTGGTTTTTAATTCCATTGCAGAGCTGGGGATGAGGGGGGATGGAAATAGTGTAAGTTAAACCACCACAAAGCTGACTATGCTTATGAGATTCAGTCATTTCTCTTGAATAAACACTGAGATCGTTGCAAGCCTTTAGTTCATTTACAGAGTTTTGAAAAAGCTTATTTCAACTATATTTGCCAATGTTCTTTTTTATGGAAGAGTATATTTTTCAGAAGTTATTCCTTTACTACTACAGAAGTGCTTCTATCAAATTATGTTTTGTATTATTCATATTGAGGAAGAAGAAAGCAGAGTTAAGAGGGAGGGATAGAAAGAGACAGGAGAGGGAAAGAGAGAGGAAATTAATATGGGTTCTACAATCAGTGGCTGCATAGTACATTTGGTTCCATCTCTAAAGATTAGTGAGAATTGGAGTAAACAAGTTTACCTTATATTCATAAGCTTCTAGTTTCTCATATAGAAATTAGAATATATAGTAATATCAGTTACTCATATAGTAATATCTCATAAGATTGTGGTGATAATTATATAAAATTCCCTCTACAAAGTTTTTGGCTCTGTTTTATATATATACATATGGAGAGACAGAGAGGGAGAGAATATGCTAACTATCATTATAAGTATCATGAGTTTTTTCTCCTATCTCTTGCTTTTCTCTTCTGATCATTAGTTTTTATTATTCATAATATTTTCTTGTTTTCAAAAATATATGCATGGATAAAACCACAATGACATCTTATAAATGACGAACCTTTTAAATCTTATAGATATTAATTCATGCCATTTTATATATTTATATATACGGCAAATAAGAACACTAAAAAGATTAATCATTACTTTATAATTAAGGAAGAGTTTATTTAGTTAAGGTTTAGTTCTCTCTGTAGCCCCACAAATTTCCACTGAGCAAAAATTTTAAGTTTCAAAGAAGGACACAG